ATGTCGAAAAATTAACTTTACAATTTTGGCCGGGGGTGGGGTAGGGGGTGGGGGTGGAGGAAAAGGAGGGTGGACGGGGGGAGATGGGAAAGGATGTGAAGGGAAAACAAAGGAGGTGGCAACAATGCTTGATAAGAAATGTACTCAGCTAGCCTTGAGCTGAAGGGCTGAGGGACAGCGCCCAGGCCCAGAGTTCAGGCCCCACGACCAGACCAAAAAAAAAAAAAAAAGAAATGTACTCATTACCTTGACCATGTAATTGTAACACCTCTGTATGGTATTTTCACAATAAAAAAATGATAAAAAAAATAAATTACTTAATTAAAAAAAGAATGGCCAATAGACACCTGAAAAAATGCTCAACTGCTCTAGCCATAAAAGAAATGCAAATCAAAACAACGTTGAGATACCACCTTACCAAGTTAGAATGGCTATAATCAAGAAATCTAGTAACAATAGAGGCTGGAGGGGATGTGGTGAAAAGAGAAGCCTACTGCATTGTTCAACCACTTTGGAAAGCAGTATGGAGGTTCCCCAAAAGACTCCACATAGAGCTCCCCAGTGATCTGGCAATACCACTTGTGGGTATTTGCCCAAACCATCACAAATGCTACCAGCACAACTATGTTTATTGCAGCATTATTCACCATAGCAAAGATATGGAACCAACCCAGATGCCCCTCAGTAGATGAATGGATCAAGAAAATGTGATGTGATGTGTGTGTGTGTGTGTGTGTGTGTGTGTGTGTGTGTGTGTATGTATATATAATGGAATTCTATGCCTCCATCAGAAAGAATGACATCACCCCATTTGTTAGGAAATGGAAAGACTTGGAAAAAATTAAATTAAGTAAGCCAGACCCAAAGAAACATAAGTCCCATGGTTTCCCTTATCTGTAATAACTAGTATATGACTAGGACAAGCAGAAAAGTTCAAAAGCTATGTACATATGACCATATAAGATGATGCTAAGCAAAATGAACCCAAGATAGAGTCACAATAGGTTTTATGTTTCTTGCTGCTGTTTTTAATGTAATTATAATGTACTAGTGATTTTTTTTGTTTCTTTTGTATGTTCTTCCCCCATGGTATAAACCCTGTTTTCTTTGTATTTGATTCCGGTGCCCTGCATTTTGTATGTACATTTTTCTAATTTGGGGAGGAGAAGGGAAATAACAAAGCTGGAACAAGGATACAAGCTGACCCACTGTAACAATGAAATGTACAAGACACTATGTTGAAAAGAACTTTACAATTTTGGGGAGGGGGAGGAGTTGGAGAGGTGGGGAGGGAAGGGATGCTAGGGGAAAAACAAAGGGGGTGGACAATTGCTCGATAGGAAATTTACTCATTACCTTGCTCATGTAACTGTAACCCCTCTGTATGGTATCTTTACAATAACAATATATAATAAAAATAACTTTAAATCAGGTTGAACTGCCCTCTTACAAGTTTCTTCACAGTTCTAGGTTTATAATATTTTAGAGGGCGTTGGAATGAAGGCATTTGTTAGATAAAATATATGATATCTTATTTTTCAATGTTTTTATAATAATGAACCATACTTTTCTATTTCATTTCCAGAATCCTTTTTTTCAAGTAAAAAATTGCTCATTTTTTCCCTCCTTCCCTCCTTTCATCCCTGCTTTCTTCCTCCATCACCTTGCTGTGTATCCTTGGCTGACCTTGAACTTTGTGATCTTCCTGCCTCAGCACCACAACTGTTGGAATTAAAGGCATGAACCGCCATGCCCAGAAAGATTCATATTCCATGATGAACGGCCCTCCTTTTGCATGTATGTGTGTTTTCTGGTTGGTTTCTCTTGTTCTGGATTACCCTAAACATTCCTTCTTACTCTTTTGCTCTTTGGCGACCCATGGTCAAAAGTACATCCAACTTGCTTATGTTTTCTTCTCCGTGACTTACATTTTAAGGCAAGAGTTTCAAAATCTCTCTGCTGTTCTCTAGGCACAACATCTTAGTAAAGTCTCAGCAATTTCCAATTTAGGATACAGTTCTGTGATTTGCTTTGGCTCACGGGCCGCTGCGCCTCACCAACCCTCTTGTGCAGAGGTCTCTGCCCCATCCTTTTCTCTCTCTTCCTCGCCACGAGGTCTTATGTGGTGCTGCCACAGCAACCACGACAACTACCTGGCATTTGAAGTTGGAAGTTGTTAAATTCGAATTAAAGTTTGCAAAGTCTTTGTTTGTAAGCATAGGCTAAGGGAGTACTTGTGGCTTCTTTGTTCTTAATGCTTTCCCAGGAAACCTAGACCTGGGGAGTCAGGCAGCTACTGTTCCCTTTAGATTTCCCGAAATTCCCAGAAGAACCTCCAACAGTAGGAAATAAGCAGCTGTTCATCTAGGTACCACAAGCCAACGTGTGCAGTGTGGCTCTCAGAAACTGGGCTGTCTTCAAATTATATTGAGGACAGCACCCAGGTTTGACAAAAACAGTGTTCAAGGTCTAGGACCAGCAAAACAAACAAAACTACCCTATAAGATGAGTTTCTTCTGAAAGATCCTAGCTTTGTAGCATCAGCATAAAGACTGAGACAGTCCATAGGATAAAAATATCAGAATGAATACCTGTGTAGTAATATTTACAGCACTTCTAGGTCTAAGTTCTGTTCAGTGACTCTTGTTTGTAGACTATCATATGGTTATATGGCTAAAGAAAAGGAATTTTTCCCCTCTACCTTTCTAACAAATTCAACTCTGAGGAAAAAGAACTGGCAGGCATCTTTCATATGTCTATAAAAAGAGGTACTTCTTGCTTTTATAGTCTTTCAATAAGAAATTGTGTGTAAACCTTTACACAGTAATTTCTACAACTAAGCATACTCAGACCAGCTGCCAGCAGCTCAGGCCTGGACTCTCACTTCTAAGGAGGCTAAGATTGGGAGGATCAGAGCTTCAGGCTAGCCCAGGGGGGGGGGAAATAGATTACAAGACTCAACCTTAATAGAAAAAAAGCTGGTGTGGTGGCCTATTCCTGCCATACTAGCTATAACAGAAAACATAAATAAGATTGGGGTCTAGGCTGGCCTCAGGATGAAAGCAAGATTCTATCTTAAAAACAACCAGAGCAAAAACTGGCTACAAGTATGGCTCAAAGGGGAGAGTATGTGCTAACCGAGTGTGAAATCCTGAGTTCAAATCCCCTGACTGCCAAGAAGTAAATTCTAAGTGTGGGAGGCACTGGTGGCTCATGCTTGTAATCCTAGCTACTCAGGAGGCTGAGATCTTAGGATCAAGGTTCAACATCAGCCTTGGCAGGAAAAACTGTGGGACTCTTGTCTCCAATAGACTATCTTTAAAAAAAATCTGGAAGTGGGAGGTGTTGTTCAAATGGTAGAGCTCTGGCCTTGAGCAAAAAAGCTCAGGGACATCTTCCAAGCACTGAGTTCAAGCCCTAAAATCAGCACTAAAAGAAAAAACATTCTAAGCATACTTAGAAAATCTTATACATATCAAACTTGCTATTCAAATTTATATCAAAAGGACAATCAACCCATTAATAATCAATTTTTGGGCAATAGCATATAGTAATCACAAATGAAATGCAGTAAATAAAATTTTCTCTAAATATAAAAACCGTTGAAAGGTATGTGGCTTACTTTAAACAATAATATTGAGAGAAGAGTTTGCACATTGTTATTTAATTTATGTTACTATATCCAAGACTTATTGAAAGACAGATAATTTATATTCCTTTTACTTCTGAATGAGGTTGACTAGCTATTTTCACATGTTTCATTTTACTTCTTATTTGTGGAAAATGTTTTTTGAAGACCCACATTTTTCTCCTGAGTTGTATACTTATTTGTTATTAATTTGTGCAAGTACATTTCACACCAGGATAGTCTGACAAATATTTGTACTCATTTCTCCCAGCATCTCATTTTTTAAAGACTTACTTTGTAAGCCATTTCTTTATTTTACTGTTTTCAAAGATTTTAACTGGTAAGAAGTCAGGCTCATTATTCTTTATGAACTTGCAACCTGGTTGAGACAGTGTCCCTTCTTCAAGGATGACAACTAAAGTCATCCTGATCTTTCTTAGTTTCTAGTTGCACTTGCAAACTTATATGTGTAATTGAGGTAAATGGATTCCAGGAGAAGGGGTAAGTACCGCAGCTTTGCTTTGCTTTGTTTCTTCAAATTGTTGGCCACTTATATCACCATGATTCACTTTGAAAACCATTTCACCGACTTAATATATTTGTATTTTCATTTTATTAAGTGAAAGTGGTAGAAAAGTTTATTAGGGAAGAAATTGATTTCATTAGACCAAAAGTGGATCTCCTGGGGTGAAAGGCTCTATATTTCAATTTCTGTGAGGACTGAATTGCAAATTGTAACTTGTATATGCTTCGATGTGATGCTCTCTACTTTTTCTGATGATTATTTTATTGATTGTGGTTTTATTGTTTCACCAATTGATTTTCTATTTGTAACTGAGTATAATTTGGCTTTTTGTTATTTTTTCTCATGTGAGAGTGTCTGTCTAAGAATTCTCAGAATTCTCAGACTTTCTCTCTAGTAGGCTTGAAAAGTTAGTCCATGCAAGTGAGTGTTTGATACAAATGTGGAAAGCAAATGAGATCTGGGAATGATTCTGATTTTCCAGGAGTGATGAGATACTTGATGCTCAGTTCCTATATATATATTAAAATTTGAGTTGTCTAAAATGTATTGGTCCTTAATTCTTTGGTTAACTCAGTTCATTTGTGTGGGTTTTTGCTTGGGGAAATTTTTTAGTGTTGAATTATTTATTATTATTATTATTACAGAGGGGTTACAGTTACATAAGTCAGATCATGAGTCCATTTCATTTTGGACACTGTCACTCCTTCTCTTCCCTCTCCCAGTGTTTTCCTTCTGTCCCCAGCCACAAATTTTGTAGTTCATTTTCAGCATAGTGTCTAGTGAGTACCACTGCTGGATTTGTTCACCCTTTCTCCCTCTACTCCTGTGCTCCTCTTACCTACCAAAGACAGATAAACAAGACAAAAAGAAAACATGGAACGATACAGAGAAGATTAGCATGGCCCCTGGGCAAGGATGACACACAAATTCATGCAGTGTTCCATATTTTTAAATGAACCCCAAGATAGAGACACAAATATCTCTTTTCTTTCTTACTATAGTTTCTAACGTATTTATAATGTACCATGTGATTTTTTTGTTTCTGTATATGTTCCTCCCCCACTGTATAGCCCCTGTTTTCAATGTATTTGATGTGGTGCCCTGTGTCTTGTATATACACTTCTCTAATTCAGGGAGGGGAAGGGGAAAAACAAAATGCTTAAATAAGGATACAGGTTGACCCATTTTAACAATGAGATGTACAAGACACTATGTTGAAAACGAACTTTACAACTTCGGTGGGGGTGGGGGACTAGTTGTGGAGGTGGGAGGGAAGGGATGGTAGGGGGGAAAACAAAGGAGGAGTCAACAATGCTCAATAGGAAATGTACTCATTATCTTGCTCATGTAACTGTAACCCCTCTGTACAGCATTTTTACAATAAAAAAACATAAAAAAAAAGAAAAACAAAAAAATCTGTCTTGTTTCTATTTTCTGGAGTTCACTATGATAGGTATTATTTTATATTTTCAGAGGCACATAGGTATTGTGCCTTTATGTTTCTCCCTAAGAACATTCTCCTTTGATTTCACTGTGTGGTAAATGCAAGTAGATGTTAATTGGGACTGGACTTAGTGTAAGGCTCATCTGAGTCCTGCCTTCAGCACACATCATTCACAGGTTTGGCAGTTTGTTGCCCCTGGTTATTATTTCATCATTCACATCCACATGTTGACCAGAACATCCACTCCTAAGGATGGGAGTCTTCTAGTTCAGCATGGATGCCTGAAAAGAATCTTAAAAGCATACTGTCCTAAAATTTAGATCTCAAGTCTCGGAATTTTATGAGTACAGTGGATACAGCCTTCATTACTGTTATTTTATGCTGCTGCTGCTGCTACTACTGCTGCTGCTGATCAATATCTCCACACAACAGGCTCCTGGTCCTATTAATCAGCTCAGGGTGCTATAACAAAAGATGGTCGAAGGCGTGATGTAAGCAATAAGTCTGTAATTTACTTCAGTTCTAGAGATTGAAAATCCAAGTTCAAGTGCCTATTGGTGTGGTTCCTACTCAAGGCCAACTTCCTATATACACAGCTGGCTTTTCGCTGTTGTCTCCATAGCTCTGTCATCTCCCCTCTAGGTGTGCTGGCATGGGTGACTCACACCTGCAATCCTAGCTACTCAGCCTGAGTAAGGGAAACCTTAAGACTGTTATCTCCAATAAACCACCAGAAAAGCCAGAAGAGGAGCCGTGACTCAAGTGGTAGGGTGCTATCTTTGAGGGAAAAAAAATAGCTCAGAGACACTAACCAAGCTATGAGTTCAATCCCTAATCTGGCACTAAAAAAGGAGTGAACTCATTATGAGACCAGACTGAATTATCTCTCAATGCAAGTCTATGACTTGCAGTGGTAAAAGTTATCATTGTGGAGGAATATGAGGTATGGGTGATATGACATCATTATTGGAAAACACAATTTATCTCCATAGAGTTTGGGCCATGGGAAACTTTGTGATAGTCCAGGGAACTCCCTGAAGATCACTTATTTCCTAGATATTAGTGGGTGGACTCATATTTGGTGTTTTCCTTAAGCTTCTGCAATGCTTTAATTCCCTAACCAGAAAAGGCAAATAGCAGATTTCTTTGATTTTTAATCATCTGATGCTGAAAACTATGTTAATAAATATATTTCTATTTAAGGTATGTAGAATCATATTTATTTCCCAAACAAACCCTAATAGGTAACAGATATGGAGAGATGAATGGGGAAAGTGGATCCTAGAATAAGTCATCTCAATTAAATGAATGACCTATTGAGATTTAAAGGCAATGCTAATCTCATTCTTATTAGGCTATAGTTGACCAGTGAACTGCATATTGTACAAAACAATTTCTTAAATTGTTCATGTAGATCCCTGTCATACAGTACCCATCAAAGGGTATTTAATAGGGAAACAAAAAGTGGTTGAGAAATGTAACAATGATAGAAAGGGTGGTTTCAAGACATTGTGCTGTTCTTCTAGTATTTACTACACTGGAGAAATCGCATAAAGACAATGACTGCCCAAAGCACTAAATTATCAGACAGAAGCATGGTGAGAGAAACAGAGGTTTTTTGACTACATGAAAATAATTTCTTATCTCTTTTTGCAGTAAAGAAGCAGTTGACAATAAGACTGTAAATTTACTATCTCATTGACATAATTATAAAATAAATTGAGTACTTAGTGATATAGATAGAAAAAAAACCTTTAACTTAGAATATATGGGTTTATGTATGTGTGTTCAGGTGAATTTCAATAAGTTTAACCTCTTCATGTCTCTGATATTTATTTGCTAGCTTTATCAACCTTTTGCTTTTTCTCTGTCTGGAGAAATTGTCACTCTTTGCTCAAAAGACTAGTGTTGATGCCATTTAAAGAACGTACATTACCCAGGATCATAGATTGAATTATGGCTCTAGAAGTAACATGGTAAGTCAGAGGGTTTGCTTAAGTGGTAGAGTTCTTGTCTTGCATGTACAAGGCAAATGAATACAAATACAAATACAGCCCCAAATCCAGACAAACAAAACAAGCTGGCTCTGAATCTCAACTATATTTGTCATTATTGTTATTTAAAAATATATGGAATCATATTTATTTTCTCAAAAACAGAGTAATAGATAACAGATATCCAGAAAGAATGAAGAAAGCAGACCCTAGAATATCTCATCTCAGTTAGATTAAATGAATGACCTACTGAGATTTAAAGGCAATGATAATCTCATTATTATGAGGCTACAGTTGACATGTACACTGCAGATTGTACAGAACAGTTAACAAATTAACAATAACAAAAATAGCATGCTGAATTTCTAAGTTCTGGGGCCTGTGACTATGAATTTGGAGAATGGTCTTTGTATACACAATACATGTAAGATGTGATCACAATCACATTGTGTGGAAATAATGCACTTTGACTAAAGTCCTGCTAACTGAGCAAGGAATAAGTTCACTGACATATAAAGAGGGACAATCTTTTATAATTTATTTTATGCAAATATTTTTACATAACATTTCTACAAAATGTAACCTAAAAGAGAAGAGATGGAACATACTATTCTTTTCTTAAATAATTGAGACTTCTTCCATTGTTTTAATCATGACATTGTATTGTCAATATATGTGTGTGTATGTGTATACATATACACATCTATCTATCTATCCATCTATCTATCTATCTATCTATCTATCCATCTACAGTAATGCACAAACAAACATTCTCAAATATATGCAGTCTTTCAAGATACGTTTGGTCAATGAATGACATCTTGAATAAAAATCTAATAGCTCAATTCAAAAGAAATGCCAAATGGATCACATCGGATTTGAAAACTTCTGAAAAGCATAATAATCCATTACTGACAAGAATATTGATCAACTGGGAATAAAGATCACCTTTCCATCTCTTCTTCTCATATAGCCTAAATATCTAGAATATATTAATATTATATAAAAAATAAACACCAAAGTAAAAATTCTTGTCAGCAATTAGGTGAATAAATTGGTATTTTTTAAAAGAAGAAATATAACTGGCCAATAAATGCACGAAGAGTGTGAAATATCATTACTCATCAAGAAATTGCAAATCAAATCTATGATAGCTTCTCTCTCACTACAGACAGAATAACTATCATCCATAAAAGATAAAAAATACTTTTCAGAGTATTTTTTTCTGTTGTCAAGGTGATGTATAGAGGGGTTACAGTTAAGATAATGAGTACATTTCTTGTCAAACTTGTTACCCCTTCCCTCAATTTTCTCCTACTTTCTCTTCCTCCCCTTAAACCCCCCCCCCCCAAAGTTGTACAGATCATTTCCAACATATTGTCTTACTATATCACTGTTGCATTGGTTTTCCCTTTGTCCTTTGTTTCACAATTCTGCTGTTCCCCTTCTCTTCCCTAATTCAAATAAACATATATACAATACCAGGGCACCAACATCAAATACAGTGACAACAGGGAATATACCATAGGGGGAAGAACATACAAAAGAAACAAAAAAAAATCACACAGTACATTAAAAACAACAAAAACAAAGAAAGACCTCTTGTGTCCTTGTCTTGGAGTTCATTTCGCTTAGCATCATCTTATATGGTCATATGTACATAGCTTTGGAGCTATTTTGCTCATCTTCTAAGATTATCCTAGGTATATACTAATTATTGCAAATAAGGGAAACATGGGACCTATATTTCTTTGGCTCTGGCTTACTTCACTTAATAAGATTTTTTCCAAGTCTCCTAACAAATAGGGCAGCATCGTTCTTTCTGATGGAAGCATACAAGCAATAGACCTACTATGTGATTTATCTACCACGCCTGGGAATATATCTAATGGGACCAAAGCAGCATATTACATGTGCATTTACTGTGCCACTATTCACAACAGCCAAGTTATGGAATCAAACTTTTGTCCATCAACAGTGGTAAAGAAAATATAACTTACATATACAATGAAGAGCTATTTGCCCATAAAAAGAGAAAAAATGTCATATTTAAGAAAGTGGATGGAACTGGAGATCATGGTGTTACAAGAAAGATGTCAGAGTCAGAAAGGCAAGTATCACATGTTTTGTCTTATGTGGAATAAAAGAGGAGGGGGGAGAGAGAAACAGAGAGAGAGAGAGAGAGAGAGAGAAACAGAAACAGAGAAACAAAGAAACAGAGAAACAGAGAGAAAGAAACAGAAAAACAGAGACAGAAAGACATAGTGAGAGTAGTAGGTAAAGTATGCACAATGGGAGTAAATATGATAAAAAAAAATAAGTAATATGCCTGAAGGAAAGAGTCTTTAATAATCTCATTTTATATGGCAATAAAATATTTCTGTTGAATAAGAGGCTGAATTATTTCATTCATTCATCTGCTTAAGTAAAATGTGTTGTTATATAACATTATTATATAACATTATAGCATGTTTCCTTTCTGGTTTAAAATTCACCATTTGTGCCAGAAGTG